TGTGTATGTAAGAGTACAGTTTCTCAAATCTAATAATTAGTTAGGTTTGTACTTTTGTAAGGCTATTAATATTAATAATTTTTTATGTTGATGTAAATGGGGTTTAATTAGAATTCAAAGAACTAGTAAAATTGACTTCAAACTATGACATTATTTTTAAGCTTTATTTTATTCCCACCACTCGATATACAAAAAAAAAATTATGTGAATAGCCTTAAGGATTCAATAAAGTAAATGTTTAACTTGGTCTTGTACTAATCCGTTAGACACACTCGAGGGTTATAAAGTTGTTTGACTTATAACCTATTTTCTGCAGCAAGTATATTGTAAGGAATTTGGACAATTTTGTATATGGTGGAACTCAAAGTTTTTATTTTTATTTTCCTAATTTTATTTAGAACATAACATTTTTATTTGTTTTGATTTTTTGCTCTTATCTTCTTTGTTTTATGTGTCAAATTGGCTTGCAATAATTCCTTTATACAAACTTCTAAGTAAATTTTCTTTGAGGATACAACCTTTCAATTAATGCATCTCCATGTCGTAAAGACATATTTATATATTGTAAGACACAATCCTTGAAAAAAATATTATTTCAATAATTACTTTACGAAAAAGCAATTATTCATAACATAAGTTATGATATTTGAGTTATAATATGAAAATATACTTTTTCATATCAAAACTTCTAAGTAATGATATTTTTCAATTGTCTGATAATATTTGGATTTAGATGTGCTTTTCCAATAAATTATCTTATCAAGAGATATAACTTTTAATATAAAAAACTACCTACAATCTAGTAGCTATACTATGTCATATAATATGACATAACTTTTCAATTGATGTGACTTTTTAATAGTAATAAACTTTCATATGAAAAAAAAATAACTTTCCGTTTACAATTTTTTCATATGAAAAGATATAATTTTCTATTTTGAAAATATACCAACAATTGAAAGCCAATTAATGCAAGAAAATTCCTACAGGTTTGTTCGATTTAGAGTTTGTGTTTCTTTTTTTTATTTAAAGATGAACTCAAATTTCTTAACAAATTTTAATTCACTTGTATGTTTTTAAAAATTATAAATTAATAAAAATGTGAGAACTTTTTGTAACATCGATAATATTTTATTTAATTTCGTACACATGGTAAGTCAATAAGAACATACAAATGTTTATGCATGTGTACAGTTTCTCAAAGCTAATAATTAGTTAGATTGACATTTTGTAGGGTTATTAATGTTCGAACCTTTTTAAGAGTAACTTGAAAGTCGATCAATGAAAGAAAATTATTACGGATTTGTTCAGTTTAACTTGTGTTTTTTAAAAGAGAAACTCAAGTTTCTTAACAAACTTTAGCTCACTTGTATATCTTAAAAATTATAAATTAATAAGAAAACTAATTATTAGAATTTCTTTTAATACTAATAATATTTAATTTAACATTCTACACGAGGCAAGTCAGCAAGAACATGCAAATATTTATGCACTTGTACAATTTCTCAAAACTAATAATTAGTTAGATTCGTAATTTTGTAGGGTTACTAATGTTTATAGCCTTTTAATTGTAACTTGAAAGTCAATTAATGCAATAAAATTGTTACAGCTTTGTTCGGTTTAAAACTAGTGATTTTTTCTAAAGATTTGAGCTCGTGTTTATTAACAAACTTTAATTTACTTATATATTTTTAAAAATAAAAAATTACTAAATAACTAAATGTAAAAACTTTTCCTTCCATGTAATATTTAATTTAACCACAAATGGTAAGTCAACAAAAACATGCAAATGTGTATGTATGAGTACAGTTTCTCAAATCTAATTATTAGTTAGGTTTGTTCTTTTGTAAGGTTATTAATATTAATAGCTTTTTATATTGGTGTAAATGAGGTTTAGTTAGAATTCAAAAGAAATAACAAAAGTTAACTTCGAGACGTACGTTTAATAAATGTTATCTTTAACGCTTGTTTTGCTCTCACTATTTGATATGCAAAGGCAGAATTGCACAAATAGTTTTAGGCATATAATAAAATTAACATTTAACTTTGTATTGCATTTTATAAAAGTAAACAACTAAACACATTTAAGGTTGGCAACATTTAACTTTTGTAGTAAGTAAATTATAAAGAATTTGAATACTTTTGATAAATGACGGAAACTCAAAATGTTTATATTTATTTTTTGAGTTTTTGTTAAAAACATAATATTTTTTTTACTCTTGATTTAATTCTCTTGTCTTGTTTGTTTTGTATATCAAAATGATTGGCAATAATTCCTTTATACTGACTTGTAAGTGTCTTTCTTGTAAAGATGCAATCTTTTCATTAAGACAATTTTATGTTTTATAACATTTTTACATGTTGCAAAACACAACTTTTGAATAAAAATATTATTTCAGATGACAACTATTTATATCATAAAATATAATATTTGAGTTAAAATATGAAAAGATAACTTTTCATATCAAAACTTTTTAGTTAGTAGTATTTTTCAATTGTTTTATAATTTTTAGATTTAAAAGTATTTTTATAATATGTCATTTTATCAAGAGATATAATTTTTTATATAGAAAACACATACAATTTAATAGTCATATTATGTGACATAACTTTTTAATTAATGTGACTTTTTAATAATCACAAAAGTTATAACTTTTTATATGATAAAAACATAAATTTTCATATAACTTTTCAAATAAAAAAAATATAAATTTTCATATAAAGACACACAACAATTTTAATTTCGAAAATACACCAAGTAAAATCTAGCAAAATGGTTAAGCTTACCTATTTGGCTCAACTCTATCTCTACACTACCTATAATTGTCATTACCATGCATGTGACGATTAGTAGGTGAAGGAAAGGGAAAAAGTCCACCCTGTAGCCCCTCCATTGAACATGGACAAAGATAAAAACACAAATTTTCATATTAAGACACATAATATTTTTAATTTTAAAAATATACCAACACTTAAAAGCCAATTAATGCAATAAAATTGTTATAGTTTTGTTCGGTTTAGAGCTCGTGTTTTTTTTTTCTTAAAAGATGAACTCATATTTCTTAACGAACTTTATTTCATTTGTATATTTTTAAAAATTATAAATTAATAAAAAATGTGAGAACTTCTTCTAACACTAGTAATATTTAATTTAATTTCTTACCCATGGTAAGTTAGTAAGAATATACAAATATTTGCACACGAGTACAATTTCTCGAAGCTAAAAAAAATTAGATTCGTATTTTTATAAAATTATTAATGTTTATACCTTTTTAAGTATAACTTGAAAGTCGATTAATGTAAGAAAATTATTAAGAATTTGTTTGATTTAGAACTTGCGTTTCTTGGAAGACAAACTCATGTTTCTTAAGGAACTTGTATATTTTACTTTATGTTTATCTCCTTGCACACTATATTTTTTTTTTCGTTGAAAAAATGTCCATGTTAAATGTAGCAAAATGGTTAGGCTTGCCTATTTGGCTCGGCTCTATCTCTTCGCTGCCTATAATTATCATTACAATGTATGTGACTCTTAGTAGGTGAAGGAAGGGAAAAAAATCCACGCTGTGGCCCCTGCATTGAACATGGACGAAGATAGAAGCATGTTTTTCCTAAAATACCCAAATAAAAGTTGAATTTCCAAAAACGCCCTAGTCCCAACTACCACCGAAGCCACGTCTTCCACCAGACACCAGTCTTGGCTGTCCCTTGCGCGAAACACGAAAAAGGAAAATCGCACACGCATAATAAGGTCTTCCCTCTCACCTATAAAATCCTTCGTAATCATCCTCTCTCTCTCCCCAGGTACCTAGCTCTTCAGACCCAAAAAAAAAAAAAAAGGAAAAAAAAGGGAAAAGGGGAAGCCAAGCGAGATTCAGAGTATTCACCGAAAATGGCTCTCACCAACTCCTCCATTCTTCCAACCAAATCCCTGCTTCAATCTCAACCATCGACGCCTTTCTCTAAAACCAAGCCATTCTCTGTTGTTCGAATCTCCGCCGTCCATTCATCTGACTCACCCAAGAACCCCATCGTCTCTGATAAATCTGCTAAGCAGCCAGCGACTGCTCCACTCGCTGCTACCAAATCCGCTACTGCTGCTTCACCCGCCGTTGCTCCTTCGCAAAATGCGGTTCCCGGGAAATGGACCGTCGACAGCTGGAAGTCAAAGAACGCGTTGCAGTTGCCGGAATATCCGGATCAGACGGAGCTTGATTCAGTGCTCCGGACTCTCGAAGATTTCCCTCCTATTGTCTTTGCTGGAGAGGCTAGGAGTCTCGAGGAAAAGCTCGGGGAAGCCGCCCTGGGAAACGCTTTTCTGTTGCAAGGAGGAGATTGCGCGGAGAGCTTTAAGGAGTTTAATGCTAACAACATTCGTGATACTTTCAGGATCCTTCTTCAGATGGGTGCCGTTTTGATGTTCGGTGGTCAAATGCCCGTTATCAAGGTCAAAACTCAAAAATTTACCTAACAATTTGACATTTTTCTGTTGTTTTTACTTACAAGTTTGTTAACTTGTTCTTTTCTTCTTTAGGTGGGAAGAATGGCCGGGCAGTTTGCGAAGCCGAGGTCGCAGCCGTTCGAGGAAAAGAATGGAGTGAAACTGCCGAGTTACAGAGGAGATAATATAAATGGGGATGCTTTCGAGGCGAAGGCTAGGATTCCTGATCCCCAAAGAATGATTAGAGCTTACTGTCAAGCTGCAGCTACTTTGAATCTTTTGAGAGCTTTTGCTACTGGAGGTTACGCTGCTATGCAAAGGGTTACGCAGTGGAATTTGGATTTCACCGAACACAGCGAGCAGGGAGATAGGTAAATTTTGGCTCAATTTTCTATTTTTGGTTTGGTTTGGTTTGATTCGGTCTTCAGTTTCTATTTGTTCATGTTTTATTGGAATTTTATGATGGAGAACAAGTTGGTGTTTTTATAGGGAAGTCCTGATATTTGGTCATTTGCCCCTGTTTTGTCGTGTTGTGTGCTTTTACTGTATTTTGAATGTATGCTCTGTTTAGAGATAATTATGTTATGTTTATGTGCCATTTTTGTCCTATCTTATTTTCGGAAGTTCAAAATATTGTTTGCGTGCTTCTTTTGGTTGGTTATTTAAGAATCAAATAAGTTCCATGAGTTGGATTTTCATCAGCTACTTCATAGGTTTTTACATTTTTGGCATGTGCGTAAATTATAGATTCTAAAGTCTTTGTAACTCCAACATAACATGTCGATTTTCCTCTTGAATTCCTGTTTTGCTTCATTTATTTCTCCTTTTGGCGCGCGGGTTTTGATAGTAGTTTTATACTTCTTTTAAGGTAAAATAACAGATCATAACTTTCAAAAAGGTTAAAATTTTAAAATATATTTACTGTTTCCTGTATGTGGCAGGTACCGCGAACTAGCTCATCGCGTTGATGAGGCCCTTGGATTCATGGCGGCAGCTGGACTGACAGTTGACCATCCTATCATGACAACAACTGAGTTCTGGACATCCCATGAGTGCTTGCTCTTGCCATACGAACAGTCCCTTACCAGGCTAGATTCTACTTCAGGCCGTTACTATGACTGTTCTGCCCATTTCCTTTGGGTTGGGGAACGTACTAGACAATTGGACGGTGCTCATGTTGAGTTTCTGAAAGGAGTTGCTAATCCTCTTGGGATTAAGGTAATTACATCTAAGTATACTCTGTAAGGAATAATTTGTAGGTTTGTATAAAGGAATTAAACAACCAGGTGCTATATTATATGTGTTTTCTTATTTAATTATGCTTTTGAATCTTCAGTTACTAATTCTTGTCTAAGAATGAACCTGGTATTGAAACATGGATCTTACATGCAACTAAATTTAGCAATTAGTTGAATTGCTTGTCATCAACCCTTCTTTGACAAGAGTTTGCTTTTGATACTTTTTTAATGAGTTTTGATCATAAATTGGTGGTAGTGAAATGACTAACAAAGGGGCTTTTCTGCTGCAGGTGAGCGATAAGATGGATCCAAATGAGCTAGTTAAGCTGATTGAAATTTTTAACCCTCAGAACAAACCTGGAAGGATAACAATTATCACAAGAATGGGTGCTGAGAACATGAGAGTTAAGCTTCCCCATTTAATTAGAGCAGTCCGCCGGGCTGGGCAAATTGTCACTTGGGTTAGTGATCCTATGCATGGGAACACCATAAATTCTCCTGTCGGTCTCAAAACTCGTTCCTTCGATTCCATAAGGGTACGTCACTCATTACTTCACCTCTTTTACTGTGAAGGATTAGTTGCTGATAATTTCTTTGAATGTGCAGAAATAGTCATTTGTTATGTGAGTCACTTACTATTTAAAATTAGGGAAACCCTGGTAATTTCAGAGTTTTAAGGAATAGTTTCTCATCACATGGAATACTATAAAATGCCGTTTCCCATTATGCACATGACTAGACAAACTAACTTGGAATGCTAGAAAATTTGGAGTGCATTTTGTGTGCGTCTTGAAGCCTTGCATAATTGAATTTATAGCTTAAAAACCGATTTCCCTTGCGTCTTGTTATTGAATCATATAGTACATGAGGTATGGCTATTGAAAATTGCTTTATGTTTAATGTAATTGCCAAAACTATGGCAATAAGCATGATTATAACATTGACAGTTCACTCTTTAAAGCATTTATAATGTAAGGAAACCAAATTAATCCTTTTGGGTGGTCACACTTTGTAGCGTCGAAGAAAATTTTTTGCATTTTCTAGGAAGAGATTTTTGAAGTCAAATATATTTGGAGGGGTTAATGCAATTGTCAAAACTATAGCCATAAGCATGATTCAAACATTATTTATAATGTAAGGAAATTGATTCAGTCTTATTGGATGGTGTTGTTATGTAGCTTCAAAGAAATTATTGCATTTTTTAGGAAGAGAGTTTTGAAGTCAAATATGTTATGGTGGGGTTGGTGGGAAATGGACTACTTCTTAAAACTTTTTTGGGCCAAACAGTCTAATGAGATTACTTAAGCATGATCATAGTAATTTTAGGTTAGAATTTGTCTTCAGTTGGTAGGTGGTCATATTTCCCTGTCCTATGATGGATTCAAACATATGTTGCAATATAAAATCTCTTTAAAGTTTACTTTAGCCTACTCTTGATGAGCCTCAATTGACCTCGGGTAGCACTGGGAAAGATTCTGTTGTTTTGTTTCTTTTAATATGGTTGCCTTATAATTAGATCCAAAACTTTTTTAGTTCACATAAAATATGGATGATGATGTCAATCTGATAAGTTAATTTCATTTTATAACATATCCTTTTGTTTATTTTTAATATTAATTAATTTTGCATCTATTTGGCAGGCTGAAGTGAGAGCTTTCTTCGACGTGCATGAGCAAGAAGGAAGTCATCCTGGAGGAGTTCATCTAGAGATGACGGGCCAGAATGTGACAGAATGCATTGGTGGATCAAAAAATGTTACATTTGATGACTTGGGTTCACGCTACCACACCCACTGTGACCCTCGGCTCAATGCCTCACAATCTCTTGAGCTTGCCTTCATCATAGCAGAGCGCCTTAGAAAGAGGAGGATCAGCGCACAAAAATCTCTGGCCTTGGGGCTGTAGAGTGGCCTCAAGAATCCAGCCACCAGCCGACCAATATGTTTGTTCTTTTTTTTTTTTCTTCCTTTCTCTAAGTTGTTATTGGCACTACATTAATACTTTTTCCTTTGGGATTTTTAAGTTATGTCCTTTATTGTATGTGCATACTGGGAGAAAGTGACGGCTTTGAGGAATAAATAATTAAGCTATGAATGAATTCTGAAATTGCTCGGAAGACTGCGTTCTATGATTGTTGTGGTCATACAAAGTTTTCACATGGAAGAAAGGGTAAAAGGTTGGGGTATTCATTTAGTCCTTCTTGTCACTATCAAGGTATACGGTGTGAACTTCGAGGGAAACTTGGTAACCGTGCGGGGATGGTGATTGACGGCTGCACGCAAGCCCCCGCTCGGCCCAGACAGTCCGATCTCCAGGACAGCAAACATTAGAGCGGGCTCAATATGTCTAAAGCCCATAAAGCTGAATTACTGCCTCAATTTAAGACTAACCTGTAAGCCTGATCCAAAAACCATCTTAACTCAGTCTAGTTTGAACTTTCAAGAGAAAATATGGAATTTGTGGGATGATTAGGCAGGCAGATGAATGCTGCTTGTTACGTCTACCTAATGCTTGTCTTAAGCATTATATGCTTAGTGGGCATGTTTAGGCCTCTTTTTGAAAAAAATTTCGGCTCCACGTTCGGGTACGAATTCAATAAAGTTCGGCCTTGAACTGACTGGCTCGTGATCATCTTTAGTCTTTGTTACAGTTCCAGCAGAAGGGGGATAGGAAAGATCTTAGCAGGATATTGAATACACTCAACCATAATTTGAAAACATAAAAATGATTTTGAAATAACCAGACCTATCAACTTGCATTTAAACCGAGGTGTACGACCCACAAGTTTGGGGTTTGAGCTGAAGAGGGATCCATCTTACTTAATATTATGAATCTTATTGCAAAAACACTAGTCAATGATCATGCCCTGGCTATTAGTTGCCAAACTCCCTTGGCAATTCATATAATTATATGATTTGCAAATACAAGTGGAAAATTTCTTCTAATATTAATACTACAATGAAAGAGAAACTTTTATTTCTTTTCTTTTTTTAAGAAAGAATTAATAAAATGAAGAAAAATATTGGCAAAAAAAGGAGAGGAGGAAAGAAATTAGGAGAAGGAAAAGGCGCGTGAAAATCCTGAAAAGAAGAGAGAAGGAAGTAATAAAATAAAGAAAATATTGGCCAAAAGAATAAATAGAAAAATGAAAGGAGAAGAGGAGGAAATTACCGAAAAGGGAAAGGCGCGTGAGAAAATCCTTCGCAGGCACACGGTAAAACCACGAGCAAGAAACACGCTCTCCACGTGGCAGCATTCGCTCCGCGTTCTTTCTAAGCAAAATGTTTAAAAGACCAAGCTAATTCTTCCGTAGAGCCTTCTTTCATTCTGTTTCTCTGTTAGCATCGATCCAATATTCCCTCCACTCTTCAAAAAAAAAAAAAAAACCTCATCAATGGAAAATTCTGAGCAATCTCATACTTTCCGGCTCGAAGACCGCCGAGCCAATGCCCTCGGCAACCTCAAATCCCTTCCCGACGAACTCATCTGCACCATCTTAGATTACCTTACTCCTCGAGACATCGCTCGTCTTGCTTGCGTTAGCAGGTTTTGGTCTTTTGCTCTCTTTTTATTCTTTACTTTTCCAATTCCGATATTTTCCATTTTGAATATCCTCTCTTTTGTTCAAATTTTCTTAATTCCTTTTTGGGTTTGAATATGTTAGTGTTATGTATATATTCTGCAATGAAGAGCCCCTTTGGATGAGTCTTTGCCTCAAGAAAGTCAACGGTCCACTTCAATACAAAGGCTCCTGGAAGAAGACAGTATTGCATTTGTGAGCTCCATTTAACTGAAAATGATTTTCTTTTTTTTTTTTTTTGGTTTGTTTTCGATTTAGCATTTATCTTCTAATTCTATGTTTTTTTTTGGTAATGATGCAGAGAGAATTTGCCGAATGAATTTATAGAATATTGCAGAAAACCATTGCAGTTTGATGGTAAATAAAACCTCATGCATTTATTTATATAAACATAAATACTTTTACATTTGCAATATCTTGTTTTCATTTTGGAATGATAGTATTGATATAAGTAATTGTGGGTACTTTTTTATTGGTAGGATTTAGCTCTTTATTCTTATACAGAAGATTATATCGATGCCATACTACATTAGATGGGTTTTCTTTTGATGATGGAAATGTCGAAAGACAGAAAGACCTATCGGCAGAACAGTTTCGTCGTGAATATGATGGGAATAAACCGGTATGCTATATATTTTTTTATGATCAGTAAAATATATTGAACTTGGTACTTCTTCAAATAATTATTATGGTACCCATAGAAACTTGATATTAGTCCTTTTAGACTTTTACTGAATATTTAAATTACATTTATTGGAAGAATCAGTTGCTTTTATTCATAAATGTTACTCTCTTCATTGTTTTCTTTATTGGTCGGTATTCTAAGTTAGCAACTGTGTATAACTACTTGCATGCTTTTTGGATGAGTTCTTGATGATCTACATTCCAGGTTTTGCTCAATGGATTAGCTGATACTTGGCCTGCTAGGAATACTTGGACAATAGACCAGCTACTGCTGAAATATGGAGATACAGCATTCAAGATTTCTCAAAGAACCCCTGGAAAAGTTTCAATGAAATTCAAGGATTACGTATCATACATGAAAGTACAGCATGATGAGGATCCTCTCTATATATTTGATGATAAGGTGAGCCTAGGGTTGTCATACCATTCATATATGGTTATTTCTTTTCTTGGGCAGGATTATGATCAGATAATGACCTTTGTCGAAAGTTTGAAAGTGCTTTGATTGTTTGTTATGCAGTTTGGGGAAGCTGCACCAGGCTTGTTGAAGGATTACAATGTGCCCAAAATATTTCGAGAAGACTTTTTTGATGTTTTAGAAAGAGATAGTCAACCGCCATTCAGATGGCTTATCATTGGGCCAGAGAGGTCTGGTGCCTCTTGGCATGTTGATCCAGCACTTACCAGTGCCTGGAATACTCTTCTGTGTGGCCGTAAAAGGTATTTTTGAGATGTTTCTCTGTATTATAAAATGCTTCCATGTCAGTGATTTTGAGTTTCACATATTATGGCTCAAGCTTAAGAAGCAAGTCTGTTGTTGGAGCTAATTTAGGAATATCCTCCAGAAAATCTATTAAATGTTATGTATTATCTGTCTAATTTGACCTTTTACTAGTGACGTGCTGATTGGTGCACCATAAACTGGCCGATGGTTTACTTTTGGCTGCATAAAGTTGTCTCTTGTATTGCTTGACTGTAGTTGAAAAGCGATATCTAGGATCTCATGCCTCAATATTTTTCGACAGGTGGGCATTGTATCCTCCTGGGAGAGTACCTTTGGGTGTCACGGTGCATGTAAATGACGAAGATGGTGATGTTAACATTGATACTCCATCCTCACTGCAGGTATCTAATTCTGATATCCTAGGCCCTGTTTTTCACCTCCTAGTTCTTGTTGAATTTTTTGGGGTTTATCTTTGTTGAATCCTTCTTCGTTTGTGTACAGTGGTGGCTTGATTTTTATCCACTTCTTGCTGATGAAGACAAGCCAATTGAGTGTACCCAACTACCTGGGGAGACAATTTTTGTTCCAAGTGGATGGTGGCACTGTGTCCTGAATCTGGAAACAACTGTTGCTGTGACACAAAATTTTGTAAATTCCAAAAATTTTGAATTTGTATGTCTAGATATGGCACCTGGTTACTGCCATAAAGGAGTTTGCCGTGCTGGATTGCTTGCTCTTGATGAAGACAGTCTAGAGAACATCGAAACGAACATGTCCTTTGACAAAGACAATTTTAGTTACTCAGACCTAACGAGGAAAGAGAAGAGGGTCAGAACTCTAAGATCTCAATTCAGTGAGAATCACAAAGGAATTACTAATAGAGCCCATAAAAGCTATAATCTATGGAAACAAGATTTTTCTTATGATATAAATTTCTTGGCCATGTTTCTGGATCGAGAGAGGGACCACTATACTTCTCCATGGAGCTCAGGCAACTGCATAGGACCGCGAGAAATGAGGGAATGGCTTTCAAAGCTTTGGGTTGGAAAACCAGGAATGAGAGAGCTGATTTGGAAGGTATGACTCCAAGCATGTTACATTTGAACATAAGTATCTCCATCGCACCAACAAAGCATATTCTAAGAAGATATTCTGTTAAAAATAAATTTCAAATCGTTGAAGAAGACAAGTAGAAGTCTGTTTAGATTATTTAGGCGATTTGGTTGATAGAAAAACTCCAGAAGTTCTTATAGATTATTTGAAAACTCCTCTGGCATAGCAAGTAATAATTTTCTTGTTCCTGACTTAATATTTCGGATTTTTTCTCTGATTGTCTTAGGGAGCATGTCTTGCAGTAAATGCCGACAAATGGCTGGAATGCTTGGGGAAAATCTGTTTCTTTCACAATTTGCCTTTTCCCAACGATAATGAGAAGCTTCCTGTAGGAACAGGCAGCAATCCTGTGAGTTTATTGTTGTTTTCATTTATCTCTTGAAGTACTCTTTTCTTTTACGTATGGAAAGTAAGGGGAATTGATTGTAGAAATCAATTCAAGGATATTCTGGGAACTTGTCATTACCTTGTACAAAGGTGTGTTTGCCACAATAACCTTATTCCGGTGGACGCATGAACTTTGAAACAAATCTTAAGAGCTCAACAAGGACTACTCAAGACTGGTCAGGGTTCTCAATGGTGGTCTTCTGCAACATGTGATTAGCATGATGTTCGCTTAGCATGTTGCTAAGAATTTTGATATTAAAAGATCTGATCTCTATGTCATCTGTTGATGACTAACAGTAAATTTTATAGATTAAATCATATGATCAACAGTGAACTTTTAGTTTTTGCTGATTGTTCCAATACTTCTGTAACAGGTCTATGTGATGCATGAATATGTGGTCAAAATCTTTGTTGAAGGAGGGCTGGAATCTTCAATATATGGTTTAGGCGCTGAGGTAGGTTTATTTGTGTAGTTATACTCTTCATGTCGATGGACCTTCTGCATACTGTAAGTTTAGCATTTCCTTCTGTGCAGCTTGAATTCTACAGTGCTCTTTGTGAAGTCAACTCACCTCTGAAAAACCACATTCCTAATGTATTGGCTAGTGGGATTCTGCATTTGGAAAATGGATCTTGCAAAATTGACTGTTGGGATGGTAAAGAAGTGCCTGGTGTGATTGGAAAGTGCAATTTGATTCCAGAGAAGGACACATGTGATGTTTTCCCTTTTGGTGTATGGAGCAAGAAACTGTTTGAATACAGAAAAGCTGGATCACTAGCATGTGGAGCAGATAGTTTAGCTGGATCTACAAGTGTTTGGCCTTACCTTATAACAAAGCGTTGCAAAGGAAAGATATTTGCTCAATTGTAAGTATTTTTTAAATTTTACAAGTTCTTCTTTATTTTGAATGGATCTTAACTTCTGCAACTGGAGATGTCAAAAATTAGATTGGTGCATTTATTAATCTTCACTTCAATTTCTATTGCAGAAGAGATGTACTATCATGGGAAGATGTGCTTAACTTAGCTTCCTTTTTAGGAGAGCAGCTACGAAATCTTCATCTTTTGCCCTATCCTTCTTTGAGCATTTCAAATCTTTCAGATGTTGAGAAGAAAAGGGATCTGCCTTTTGCCAATGGCATGGACATGGAGTATGTTTCCAACAAATCAGATATTCCAGTTGAATGGCAAATCTTTGCAAGAACTCTAAGTCGGAAGAAGAAGGATGTTTCCATCCGCTTGAATAAATGGTATGCCTATCTAATTTAGGAATGAAGTTTATTGATCAAATAATAATGATTCAACTGAAATTTTTTTTTGACTGAGATATTCCTTTCTATGTCCTAGATTTACAACAACAGATCTTGCATTTGTAACATTGTGTCCGTATCTATATTTTTCATTTTGAAACCATTGCATGCTTTAGGCTTCTGGAGAGCTATATCCACAGTACACACATTCACCTGTACTTCTATCCTGTTATGCACTCAAATAAGGGGTTTTCTCCATGGTTAAATCTTCACTACCATGTGGAACTCACTGTGGCTTCTTGTATATAATCCAAAAAGCATTAAAGCAAACTCCTTCTAGAAGTTTTTCCATTGTCATTATTTTCTTTGGATGGTTCAGAGCTGATCTTGTGCTTGGATCCATGCATCCGGATCAGTTCCCTTCAAACTGCAAGTTTTTTATCCTAGTGTGCTATGCCATCATTTTGTAAGAATGTTAGTGTAGTCGTTAAAGGGCATATTAATTTATGCAATTGAGGTTTTTTTTATTCTTTTTTTTTTTTTACCTTGTTTCATTGTTTATTTACTTTTCTATAGCATTCAATTATATGATGTCTCTGAATTTCTACACATTCAATTTGTAGGGGGAATCCTATTCGTAAGATGTTGATAGAGAAAGTTGAGGAATACCTTCCAGATGATTTTCTGAAGCTGCTTTCTGTATATGAGGTTTTCTGTAGTCCCACTATTTTTTTCTTGTTTCCACTCTTTCCTCTTAATCCTATGGATCTTTTATAGTTGTACCTAATGCCATTCATTGTTGATAGGAGAATGGCATGAAAAGGATTCGTAAGCCTTTGTCCTGGATACACTCAGATATTATGGATGACAATATTTACATGGAACCAAGCTTTATGTCTTGCTCAAATGGAATCGCTGCCCAGACTAATAATGGTTCATTAAATGGGCATAATAATGGTGGAGAAGAAAAATCTTGGCACCCTAATTACATCCTCGATTTCAGTGATCTTTCTATAGGTCAGTGCACATTTAATTTGACTTCATTCTATGTTGCTAAGCTATTTTAGTTTATATATCATTCATCTCCTTCCCATTTTGCTTTAGAGAATGTGGGTTTATGCCAACGAAACTAATTTGCATCTCATGAAAATTGAATTGTGAAAATTTAATGAACATGTATCAATGCAAACGAAATCTTCAAGAACATCTGATATTGATGTCTTCCATCAACTTGAATTTGAATTTTATTTTTCAGGTGACCCCATTTATGACTTGATACCTGTACATTTAGATGTCTTTAGAGGTGATTCCTGTCTCCTTAAGCATTTTCTACAAAGCTATAAACTTCCTTTGATGAGAAAAACATCAGAGAATGGATCAGTGACTGGTTGTGATAAGTTTGGACGGCTTTCGTACCATGCCATGTAAGTAAAATCTTTCCTTATAATTTGTCAATATTTTTGTGTGTTATGCATGCAAGTTTTTGGTGCAACTGCATCACAAGGCATTAAGACCTGCAAAATTTTACCTGGATGTCTGTATCTGCAGGTGCTACTGTATCTTACACGAAGAGAATATATTGGGTGCTATTTTTAGTACATGGAAGGAGCTTAGAACAGCGGAGTCATGGGAAGAAGTTGAGCAGACGGTATGGGGAGAATTAAATAACTATGAAGGTTTTGCCTGATTATTCTTTGCGTATAAATCATTCATTTCAATCTCTGAAGTACTTAATTGAGCTCCCTGCTGGCCATATGACAATTCCAGATGAGCTTTACTAACAATCACTTACTGCAAACAGAGCATTTGATTCAGGATTGGAATTATTCGATTGTCTTTTCATTTCCGTAAATTTGATTGTTTGCATTTGACTAATAAAGTTGGAATTGTAAGGGGAAAAAGAAAAGAATACAGAACCCATGTTCTATTTTCTTGTTCTTTTTTGTTACATTGGAAATAATAACCCAGGTTGGGAAAAGTTGGCTTTGTTGACAACTTCCTTGTAAAGTTGTAAGTAAACATTATCTTATGTACCAACATAAAAAAGTTGACTCATTTTGACAATCAACTATGAGTCAATTGTTACGACGTCCCAGATGCTTTTGAGTCCATTTTTTATTTTTTTATAATTAAAAAAATTTAAAATTTATTTTTCAGACAAAAAAAATCATGTATAAATTAATAATCAAATTTTCTAATGCCTTTTGAGTCCATTTTTATTTTGAAACACATTGTTTATTTTTATATCCCTTTGATTTAGTCTTTAGATTAACCAAGCAGGAAAACTACAAGCATTTTCGACTCAGCAAACAGGTATAAGCTCAGTTGCATCCCACAGAGAACAATAACATACCCATCAAAAAGCAGTACTACAAAATGAATGACTTGATGCGCTGCAACTCTTAAATTGTCAAAATTGAATGTTTTAAATCAAACAATCCGGTAACTCAGCAATATCGAAGCACTTTCAAATGCAGTTGTAAAGCCTTTCAAAATATGAAAACAAATTCCTGACATTCAACTTACCGTCGTAATCTGACTGGTTTTAATTTCTGAGGCAACTTAAGCTGCAATAGAAGGCTTAGAAGCAGCAGAAAGCCTGGATCTTTTCTTGGCTAAACTCTCACTACGACGTTCTCTCTGCTCCTTCAATCTCTGTGCAAGGAGCTTCTGATACTCAGCCGCATCTGCCTTCGCCTTCGCAATTCTCTTCTTTTTATCAGCAATTCTTGCTCTCTTCCTCTGCAAAGTTAATGGAGTGACCAATCTCTGAATCTTGGGAGCTTTACTGGCTTTCTTTCCTGCATTACGGAAAAATCAGTATTGTGATGTGAATATAGTAAATAGTAAGGAGAGTGCACAATGTCCAAAACAAAATTAGACTTTAGCTGTTTCAACAAAAGGTAGAATCTGGCATAAGCATCACTGCCACAGGCTATGTCAACTCAGATATAAGTTTTTTAGTTTGAAAAGAAAATTTCAAAGTTTGCTTCAGACAGACATCATGCACACATATAATGGAAAACCCAGTTAAAAACACACAGCATTTCCTTTATGACACTAAAACTCTTTGACTGTTCTTATCTCACAACAATTAAACGTAAAGCGGAAAATATACTAGAGAAACTACCAGTTTTTGTGGTGAATGAACGACGGTAAGTGTTGACATACTTTCGGACATCATCCTCCTTTGAGAGATTGAAGAGTTTACGAATCTTTGACGCCCTCTTGGGACCTCTCATTCTTGGTTTCTCAGTATCAGTCAGTCCAGGAAGATCATTCTCACCCTTTTTCACAATTACTAAGTTAAGAACAGAGAGATCAGGGCTCACAATGCATCCACGAACAGACTTCCTCCTTCGCTCTCCATTGCGCCTACCATATCCTCGGAAGCAAGGTGTTCCTAGAGACAAAAATAACTTTATCATTTCATAGCACCAGTACAAGTAAAGTTGCTATCATTACACATCCAGATAACGTTAAACAGTAAGGACCAACCTCTGTGCAGCAAGAGACGGACACGACCAGGAGTCAAGACTCCCTGTTTCATTGGAAATCCCTGCTTGTCACATCCTCCCATGATTTTGAACACATAGCCTTTAAATTCCTGCCAAAAGGGTTTAAAAAATTCTTAAATTTAAACCAGGAACTCTTTCAAGATTGGAATCCAATTTTTGAACATAAGCATACCTCTCCAAGAGCATCTCCACTGACCTCCTGAGAGATCCTCTTGTCAAAAAATGCTCGACTATACAGTATAAAAGCTAGAAGTCAACAGTGAGAAACATATACATTACAAAATAAAAGAATTCAGTCCTTTAAACAAGAATAGCAGCTCCGCCAGTAACTTGCAATGATACTTGTCACACCATCTCCTATACCAGTACACTACATTAAAAGCAAATTAAACGTTCATGATAGTTCTATTCCAAATGTGATTGCCCGAGTCAAACATTGTAGAGTTCATTTATGGGTTACGACTGTTAGCTTCAGCTGGCATGTTTTCATCTATTCAAATGTCAATGTACAAACAACTTAAACTAACACAAATCAAACCTGCAAGTAATAAAAGGTCTCACACTTTTAATTGAGCTAATAAAAACTCTGTTATAACTAGAATATCTCAATTCCAATCAATCCAACAAGCTCCAATATTCAAACTTTGCTTTCTTCATTTCATTCTCTTTTTCAATATTTTTCAACTTTAAACCCCATTTTATAATACTTTTCAACTTTAAACCCCCCCTTTATTGGTCTACATTAAGATCCACGTCCTCTTATATTTCATTCAATAAAAAAAAAAAAAACTCCAACAATTTAAAGCCATACAAGGTTCAAATAAACAACCAAACCCAAAAAAAGCAAAAGGAAAATCCTAGTAAAGATATAGAGAGATATGAACATGAAAGCTTACAGTTTCTGGTCATCGTCGATTTCAAGCTTCTTTTGGCATCCCGTAGTCGGGTTGGCGATATTGAACTACGAAGAGGGAAAGAGCAGCAAGTTAGAGTTAGGAGCTGTTGAAAAGCTTAGTCTTGGGATAAGAAAGATACAGTCATGGTTGAAAGATGGGACCTTCATGGTGGCGGAGTGGAGAAGAAGCGGCCGCGTTCAAATCAGTTCCGGTCCGTTTTGCCTTCTTCTGCTTAGGGGTTTTGAAAAAGAGCTCCCTCTTACTTATTTATACCCCTCCGCAGCAATTTTACTCTGTTTAACCGGATCATCTGGTGACTCTTTTCCTTCTACTATCCTCCGTACACGTGGACAGAAAAGAGTAATGCCGGTGGCCTTTTGGAGTTTTGATATGGGGTTCTATTTTTGTTCTCGTGAGGCTGCCCGTACTCTGACCAATATGTAGGGTTTAGACAAGTTTGAATTGAGCCCAATCTAGAAGAATCCGACCAGGGCCTATTGCTCTAAACTGGGCTTGACGAATTCATTGTCCAAATTCACATCACAAATGGCCTCTAACTTTCGGGCTAAGTGTGCAGCGTCAGTCGAAGTTAAGAGGCAAGACAAATGGTTCACCTGCCTTTGTTATGTTTTTGCAAAGGTAACGAAAGGCTTCAATTTGTATGGATGGAGAGATAAGAGCTACCTTCATCAGACTAAAAGCTCCCGAGTGCGAATAATACTGCCTTTCAGTTCATCAAACAGAAGGTCCCAGCCAGAGAAAGAGTCGACCGTAAGGCTTTATCAAAAGCTTCAGACTGAAAATGATTATTTTTAGTTATGATTATCAGTCCAAGAGGATACCAATTAAACAGACTTTTCATTTCAAATGGACAGCAAGCAATTGATTACCCTGAACTTCAAATGATTATGTTTTTTTAGCAATTACAGATCAATCTAAAGAGCAAAAGGATAAGGGAAAGAAACAATCAATCATGATGCCGCACCTAAAAGAAGAAAGATTTTTTAACAGAAAAGAATCATATTGCTATTCCTTTCTAGTACATCACCAACATTATTATTGAGCTGATTCCAGCCTCCACATCCGAGGAAAGCAATTTTAATAAGTTCACAAAGTAATTGGAAAAAGGTGTCTCCCATGAGCCAAATGGCATGGTGAGGAGAAACAGGGAATTCTTCAATCATTCATTAATAAGATTCTGATGTTGATGGTTGTATAAACAACAGCTCATGATAATGAGGTCTATTTTGTACATTTTGTTTACAGTGGGCACACAAAATCACCACTTGTCTCTACATCTTCAAGATCTGCATCAGCATCTAAATCATCAAGATCCATGCTGCCTCCCATGGAAAGTCCCCCAACCTTGAGGACCTCTGTAGTTTTCATGGCCTCTTGTATTATAGACTGTACTTCTTCCAAGGTTTGGGAAGGGTTATTTACATCATGGCTCTGCCAGCTTCCTCCTTCCATCAGTTCGATGGGCAAGTTCTTTAAGAACCAAGGGTGGCTTTTAATTTCTAGTATAGTTATTCTCTGCACCAACAAGAGATAAAAGAGGAATCTGAGTGTAATATAAACAATCCAACAAACGATGGATGAAGGCAAAAAGAAGCAGAAATTTATAATGAAATGTTCAATTATGTGATTGCGTTGCCAGCAATTAGCTCTCAGTGCATCAGAACAAGCAAAGAAGCAACTTATACCTTTTCAGGATTTGCCGCAAATATCCGAGATAAAAGGTGTTTGCACTCCATAGAAACTCGGACATAATCAGGAATTGAGTAGCGGACACTGAGTATTCTCTGCCATTACCAATAATAACTTATATAATTGCACTAATTTCAAACTAAGTGTAAAGTGGAGCTGAAAGTTTCGCATAAGCACTCACCCCAATTGTCTTTCTGAAGTTTTTAGGATCATCAGGATCTTCAAAGGGATACGCCCCAACTAACATGACATATAAGGTGACCCCACATGACCAAACATCTGCAATCTATACTTATGGAGGATTAGAAACAGATAACTACGGAATTCAAGTTGGAGAAGCATATAATTCAAGTTAAAAGAGGAATGACATTACCTTCCCATCATATTCTTTCTTGGATAGAACCTCAGGAGCAACGTAAGCTGGTGTTCCGACAGTGGATTTTGGTTGTGAATGGAAAACAGATGACTACAAAATTAGGGGGGAAATAGTTAGTAAAAAAATAGCAGGCAAACGCACAGTTGTTACAAATTCATGGATTAGCTAATTTTATTACCTTTGAGTATCCAAAATCACATATTTTAACGCGTGGCGCTGTGCTGCCATCCAGGAGAGTGTTTTCAAGCTTAAGATCTCTGTGGCATATTTGCTGCGAAAACAGAGTTTTCATAAAAGGAAATAGCACTGAAGGTTGTTTAAGAAAGAAACAAAATCTCTTAGCGAAGCTAGAACCAAAGTTTCATACCATGGAATGACAGTAACTGACTCCTGATATCAATTGCTGAAAGAAAAACCTAGCCTGTTGCCAAATTAACATACGAAAATAATATTAATGTTCCAATGGAATATTTAGACATGAGAAACTGTGTATTCAATAGAACAAACCACTCCATTTCACATTGAAATTTTCGCCTTTACATTACCTCATCCTCACTAAATCTACCAGCATTGCATATACGCTCAAAGAGTTCTCCACCTGCAGCATACTCCATCACTATGGCTAGATGAGTGGGTGTAAGATGAACCTGCAAGGGCATGCAAAACCTCCAAGTGAACACTTTGCCCTTCTTTTGTTTTACATTATTGAAAGTCAAGTTCAATGGACTACAATCTGCAAAGTAGTTCATTGAGAAGGAACATGATAATAAAATCATTTGCAGCACAAGAGGACATCATTTTGCATCATCGAACCTCACAGTGTCCTGCTTCAGGGGACAATAATTTGCTTTACAAATTCAGGAAATGAACTTTAGTTTTTCATTTAGGCACTTGAATTAAATGGTAAGATCTCGGCTGGGCAATTAATGACATAATTATAACTCTACACTTGGTTATTAAGAAAGTAAAGAAAAGCAAAATGTTTAAACAAAATTACGTAGAAATTACTATCTCTTGACATTATTTCATTGGCTCTCCATAAATGGGAAAAGAAGGCAGGTGTAAATCATGAAAGGCCAAGGCTTTATATCTTTATTTGTCATAATAGAGCATTGACCATAGCTCAGCTAGACAGGAACAAGACAACCACATGACAATAAAGCAACAGGGAATATAGGAGTACCCACCTCTTTGAATCTAACGATATTGGGATGCTTCAATGATCTATGGTTCATGATTTCCCTTCGCACATGTTCATCAATCTGCAACCAAAAAAAAAGAAAAAAAAAAACCCTTTCATCAACACATCCATATGATTAATGATGACAGGGACATGACAGCAGGAAATCCAATTAGAAACAGAAAACTGAGAAGAAAAAAAAGGGAAAACAAAAAGTTAGAAACATTTAAGAGGTAAAAGGGTATGAAGATGACCTTTTGCCCTCTCTCAATGAACTTAACAGCAAAGAGCTCTTTTGTCCATTTATCTCGGACTAGCTTGGCCACTCCGAAATTCCCTGACCCGATATCTTTCACAATCTCATAACGTTCCATAGTTTCAACTCTGTCAGAAGGAAAAGTGCCCCGCTGCAATCTTAAATCTCTCACTCTCTGAAAACAACAGCGTAAAACATAAGGAAGTCCAAAACTTGAAGCTTTGTATCAAGAGGCTTAGGCCAAAGTTTGTTGTGGCTTAAAAGTGACGACCATCATCATCATCATCATCATCAAAAGTCGTAGAAGGGTAAAGCTTGGAAGCCAACTGTGTTTGACCACAATTATAGTTAACAGATAGAGAAACAGAGGGAACACGTGTAAAGAATGGTGGAGATTCGATATAATTTGAACAGAAAAATTAAAGCAAAGTTCCCCACTGTCGTCTGGCGGTGTGGCAGGTACAGAAATTCTTCTCCAGACAAAGAAAAGACCACTTGACTAGCGGCTACACGCCAAACTTTTGCTGGTAAAGATTCGCTAGAGGTCGTTCGGTGGTTTAGGCCTCGATTTTTAATCGAATGAATTCACTGCAAGCTTATAGTAAGATTTCACTATCATTTTACTGCTCGGCAAGCTGAATTCTGACTTAAACAGGCAACAAACATACATTCGGATAAATTAGTAATTACTTGGGTAAAATCCTGGAAGCTGGTGTGCTGTGGGCTGAAAATTGCTTGTGGATATGGTGTACTGTTATATATTAAGGAGCACTAGTGACGTGCAAGGTAATGCAGTGGTTTTCAGCACAAATTTTAGCATAAGGCAGGTCAAATCAAAGGAGACCAGCACATTATATTTAGGCTGTTTTCTATTTCATTCCAGGAATTGGAATTGTGCTAACAAAATCACGACATTAGCTTTAGTGGATCACAAATCAGCCCTGTTTTGTTTTGTTGAGGTTAATCTTACAGGCATTTTGAGAAAATGTAGAAAATTGTGAGTATTATTTTTAAGTGGCTTTTCTGATAATCAAATGAGTGAAGGAAATCCAATGTAAAAGAGACCCTCAATATCACAAATATATATACTATTTATTTTGTTTTTTTTATTATTCATATGTGGTTGCAGGATAGAGTTGAAACTACTCCTATCAATATCCCATCACTCGCGACCAAAGACCTGGAAATTTGGAAGATGCAATTGGCTCCCGCAAGTCCAACCAATAGAAGCTGAAATCGCCACTTCCCTATTGGCACCGGCACCCTCCAAATCCCATCAAATCCGAGGGACTAGAAACCATGCTTGTTTGTACTATTGTCATTTTTCCCAAGAATTTTGTTTCACTAGTCATATTGTGTTTGGCCTACCAATACAAGAAAGCCATTTGCAATCAATGGCAGATTTCCAAAATTTCATAACGATTATTGTCTTATGACGTCTCTTGGGCTCATTTATACACTCTGAAATATACATGTATTTTGTTTTAATTTCTGAAATATACATGTATGGGAGGGTATAATACATATATTACAGGCTTATAAAGCCTCTGATTTCCCTTTTCTATTTTCTCGTTTCCTTTCTTTTTTGGCTTACAGAGGATTTCACTGGCACTTAAGACACTTGGAACAGAAGGTTACTGCATTCACTTTCATGGATGCGATGGAGGGGTGAAGGCGTGGAAATTTTCGTGTACAATTTTCTAAACATATGGCAGCACGACAGCACCAACGACCAAGTGTCTACCTTCTTTATAAGACTCAGTAAAAAGAGGTAGGAAAGCGAAAAACGGCTCCATTGTTTTCATAGGGAATTCTTCTAGCTCAAGTTAGCAAACATCTTGTCCAACATCAAGTGGAGGACCAAGGTAGGGTGCCCCGTTAACGACTACGTCATATGGTAGTTTTAGTTCTCTTTCCTCAAGCAGAGCATAACCTGAGCCAAGAGAGACAAAAAACACACAGGAACAAATGAAAATATGAAGCATAAATTTATAATCAGTAAGGGGAAATATAGTAATTGAATTGATCATTACCAGGAAGAGAAGGGATAGGGAAATCGAAGAAGTAAGTGGAAGGCCTCTCAAAGTCATCAGAGTATGGTGGAGATAACACGTCCAAGATAGCACAAGGAGTCAAGGCAGTGAAAGAGTGGATGTTTCCACCACTCCTTGGAAACAGGACGGATGATTCACAGGGTGCATTGAAGATGCCATTTATCACAGTGCCTGCTAGTCCATCTGCAGCAGTTACCATTTTTGGAGACTGTTTAATGATTCATAAGACCAAATTTCATGATAGAATGAACTATATGCATATTTCAAACTGCTTTAAATCCATTAATATCTCAGGAAGAGGGAACAGATTCAATAGGCCTTTTTTAGCAATTTGATTTCGCACAAATAGAATGAGAGGAGGATCGAAAAGGGATTCAAGTATTGCAAATGTTACAAACAGATGAAGAAATGTACTTCTTGTTTTGATACCATTATTCTTCGTCAAAAATCTTCCTACCACTGTATGATATAGTTAACTTCAATCGAAACATCAGCAATGTTAATATTTCTTCACAAATTTTTAGCTAAAATCCTTACTTGTTCTGGGGCTATTGGTCCCCGCCTGCACCCAATCATAGGCTTTGACATAAACTGAACCATAAAGAAGTTTGCTTAGAACTGTCATCCCAGGGTGATCATGAAGAGGCAGGGTCCTGCCAGCCGGGAAGCAAAAAATTCCCATCTGTAAACAGAACAGAGTAACTCAGAAGTACAATTTCATATGATAATTAACCATAGCAGCCTAGCAGGTATCAATATACAATCGCATACATATGCGCATGAATAAACAAATGAACAACTCCTGCTCACCGAGAAATTGTCACATTCATGGATGTGAATGTAAGTTATTTCAGAAACTCCTTGCCCAGAAATCAACCCGTTGGTGATCTTGGGGCTTGAACTTGGAGATCCATCCAAGCTAAATTCATCTATACCAACATCAGCAGCTTCAAATATATCTGCATTTTGGGAATCTTCCCTTTAGTCGTCTACTAAAATACATTAAAAGTTAATACAATAACTAAACAACAACATAAATCTGCCAAGGAAGGTTCAATACTTAAGATGCTTTTCAGCCATTGAATTTGTTGGAAGGTTGGAAGCTCCTTCTGGGAAAATACATCGTTACAGGCATCATAGAGCATTTGTATTTTGCTTTTCTCCATTGTACAGTTCATGAGGGAATTACTCACCCTTCACAGTAATGATCATGACTATAAATCACGAGACGACTTAAACAAATTAATAACGTTAATAAAAACCTGGGGGCTTATTTTCACTGTTTAACTCATACTGTGGGCTTCCTGTATTCTCATTGGAACTTCTCTGCTGTACAACTCACCAGGATCCAAGTAGCAAACAATATGTACACACAACATTTTGGCCTATGGTTATAAAATAAAGAAAAAATGGGCTGATCAGGATAACATGGAGAAACCGAAGGTGGGGCATTCATATTACTTTCCCACTTTAAACGAAATTAAAGATTTGACCACAGCTATAAAATCATTATTTTGCTACATCAGCAAATCATTACTATTTTTCTAGAATGGAGAAAAAAAAGGGGTAAAACCTTGGCAATTTGGGCCCATAAGATTCCATTTTCATCAGCTTTTGCATGGCAAAGATCATGGTTGGGTGGCTGGTATTAGAACATCGAGTTTTCCGAACCCAGCAAGTTAAAGGATTGCTTGGGATTGGAGGGTTTAGACTGTAGACCTATTCCAATACTGGTGCAGCAGTAGTTTTGTATATACTCAAATGTGCCCTGCGCTTGCGCTTTTCTGTTTAGTGAAAATGGCAGCTTAATTTACAAAAGTTTATTTAGAAGATACCTTTCATTCAACCTTTAAAATTGAGCCAGCTATCTCTTTCCACTATCCGCGCTAGCTGATTAGTACGTAATTACGCAACCGAAGATTGGTAAGTAAAAAATGCACATCACCCTGAATTCAGGACAAACCCTCACAAAACAGAGTTTTGCGCCAAATGATTCGAGTCCTGCTTTTTGACGGTAACACCAGTCCTTGTGCCCAAACTGCAGACCAAGGAATACTTATAGATAACTTTAATTCGATTAGAAAATTCGTCGCAAAAAGAAAAAGTTTTCATCAGGAATTGATATGCTTGTGTCTTAATCGAACAGGATATGCATCTTCCTCCACCGAAAACTCTGTTTTCTTTTTTTTTTTTTTGTTTTTCATTTCTCTCGTTGATCGATCTCCATACGGACCACTAACTTACATATCAGCTTGGCCAACTCCAACAGAATATAATTAAGCGCAGCTATTTTGTTCCACCATTCAATGGCTGAAAAACAGTCATTGAAATTGTAGCTTAAAAGGTCAAGTAATTAAAGCAATGGAAGAAAAGTTTGGAAAGTTTAGCCGGTTAATTTCGGGTGGAGAAACCACGTTCCATGACGGCCAGGCTCTATTTAAATATATAAATATATATATATATATATATATATATATATATTGGTTTCGGGAATTTGTTGGCCTCGTTTGATGTGACATTTGAGTAGAAAAGTCTCATGGAAATTGAAAAAATACTGAATGAACAAACTGATAAGGATCAGTTAAACTTGGTAGGCCAGGCCGTATATTCAGTCTACCATTTGTTGTGTTATATTGTATTTAACATTTGTGGTTGATTTTCCAAGTGGAATATGAACAAGTGAACATGTTGAGACAAAATTCACCTCCCGAGAAAAAGAAAATCATGTTCTCAACTTGCCTTAGTTGAATCTGACATCTGAACATTTGTTCGGCTCGTGTCTCTATTGTCAATTAATTCCTTGTTTCGCTACTTTTTATTTTGAATATTTCTCTAGTGTCTCATAAGTTATTACAAACCAAAAGGAAGAAACAATTACGCAAATTTAATGATTGTTGGTCTAATTTGTAGCTTTTTTATTCCAATTAAGCATATTTATTTGTAATAAATAATAATAATAAAAGAAGACAAGAAAAAGAAAAAGAAGTATGGGCCTTGGTTGTATTTAGAAAGATTCTCAGAAAGGTGGGTCTAGGACCAAGGTCCATACTTGTTTACCGAAAAGCCCACCCAATTTTTTCAAAATTCAAATCCTCTCAACCTACACCAAAAAAAAAAAGGTCGGTCGCTTTGCCCTAGAACTCAGAAGCCCGTGTTTGCCAGCTTGCCTTTTTTAATCCCCTCTCCTTTTGCCTCCTAAATCCAACGGTTCATATTTCATCCGCCTCATTTTTCTCCCCTCCTCCCCTCCCGTCCTCAACGCAATCATCGGCCCCCACCTCTCCCTCCCCCTCAAAACCCATCCTCCCAAATCTCAGATCTAAAAATTTCAAAAACTTCTCTTCCGCTTCCCCTTTCCCTTCATTTTCACTTCCTGAAACTAATTCGAATCAACAATGGC